ACACATGGTTGCTTTGATCTTGATTTTCAGCCCTTCTGTGCCTCAAAGTTTGGAGGGCAGATTTATTAGGAGTTTGTTCCCTTTTCTCCATCATTTGTGTTTCGGGTTACAGTAGCTTGAACATTTTTGGATCATGGTTTCCTGTTTCAACAAGGTGAGTTATTGTGGAAGGATTGAGTAAATGCATCAAGGTACTCTTTCAGGAAGTCCACGTTCAATTTTGTTTCTGTTAAATAGTCAAAAATTACTAATGTAGTCCATGCAATCAATGATCTTTGCTTAGGTGCAAGTTCTGTAGTCTCATTTTTGGAAATCTCTTCCTGGAAGTTTTTTTTTTAAAAATAGGAGATGCTGCAGTTGACCATGCAGCTGCCTCAGGAGACTGTTATATCTAAAAGTGCCTAGGGAATTTGGTTTCTCGGCGTTAGAAGTCTGCACTATCATCTTGTATCTTACTAAGTCCCAATTCATATCTGTTCCAGGGATGTCCAGGAGTTTAGTTATAATGCTGATGTAGGTGTTGTCATTACTTACATTCTGGTTTTCAGCCACCTGCTTTTTAAATTCCATTATATCATCTGTTTTGTCGCTTAGATGATTTGAGAAATATCTGTATGATAGAATTCATTCTTTGTCATTTCTTCCTTCTTCCCATGCGTTAATCTCTTGGCGGTAATGTGTACACAGTTCTTCTCAGCTAGTTGTTTGGAGATTAGTCAAATACAGCTATGCACCAGAACCAGTAATTAAAAAAGTGGATTAGTCTGATAATATAAGATAAAAATAGAAAATTACCGTGCACTCTGATCGCCAGAGCTTTCACTTCGCCATCTTGGTTCTTCCTCTATTGAAATGTTTACTTGCACTATGTTTTTTAAAAAAAATGTGGATAAAGGAATTTCTTTTAGAGTAAGGATGCAACCTTACTATCTAGGCTGAAATATGTTTCTGCCCCTTTGTGGCCAAGAAACAGATCTGCACACAATATACACAGACCCACAGATTCAAAAATGCACACTCTCACACACTTGCATCTCTACTGAATGGTGAACAATTGGAATAATTAGGAATCCAAGTGTCTAACATAGATGTTTGAAGATGCTTTCTTGAAAGAAAAATAAAATAGAAATAAATTGATGTGTGCCTTGATATGTAAAAGTTGTTGGCGTTGTTTGGCACGTAGCATATAATACATATTTTTCTGAATATTGCTGAGAATTATTTTTTACTGGTTTTGGGGGCCACGTTTATCTGCAACAGCTCTCCTCATACTGAAGCATCTTAGAGATGATTTAGGACTACAATTTGTAGGATGAATATCTTAGCTGGGATTTTTTGTTTGTTCACTGGCATAATCTAGTTAGATGATGTTAATTTAAGGAAGGTGGCTTATTGAGAATTTGTTTTCTGTTGAAGTTTATATCTAATTAATAAGTATTTAGTAAAATTATCACAGTATGAACATAGCTTGGTACTAACATTTAATCATTAGCTAGTTGCACAGCTACATTTAGTCGCAGAGTCAATTTCATTCATGCCACAGTTAATTGCCTTAAGTTCTGGATGCCTTTGTCCCATTTCAGATTTGCTTTAATTATAAGGAGAATGGAAAAAAATCTCCCTTCACCTCTCCTTCTTTTTGTTTGACTTTCCAATATAAGGTTTACAAAAAAAGTCAAGTCACTATAACTCCAAGTTCTCACTGTTGCATTGATAAATAATTATAAGTGATTTTACTATTTTTGCACCTTCCAATAGTTTCTTTTTAGAATCTATGAGAACCCTGTGTCAATATTCTGCATTTCATATCGAAACCATTTTGCTCTATTTGTAAAGAGTATAAATTGCTGATTGAAAAGTTAATAGTTGTATTATTTTTATTTATTTTGCTGCCTTGTGTGTTTCTGCATAGGACTATAAACAGTTTACACATAAGAAGCACAATAAAACTGTGGCATAATATGGTAACATACACCAAACAGCATAAGATGATGATGATAATAATAATAATAATAATAATAATAATAATAATAATAATAATAATAATAATAATAATAATCGAAGTAAAGAACAAAAAT